CGATAACTGAGTCGTGGATATCTCAAGTGAACTTTCACTGTCCATGTTCAGGATTTGACTTTAGGAAAGGGCTGATTAATTACCTCGGGTAACTGAGTTGTAGGTGCCTCATGACGATCTTAATCATCGATTTAAATATTAGAAAGCTATTACTCACAAGAATATTTCATTTGACAGCATAATCGCATTCGAAACGCATATTGTCAGTATCGCTTCCTTTACAGGAATACGTTTCCTGATTGCGCTTTGAAAGAGGGCCAATCAATCATATGATGGTACAGATATTTCAGTTAATGAAAACGTAATTATTAATTTAAGCGACCAAGTGAACCTTGTATCCCGATTTGGCAATGTACTCAAATGAAACTTTTTCAATATTGCTTGTCTCGATTTCAAAGCAATAAAATGAATTTTGAATAAAGTAATCAATTTTAACCTCCCCATATGATTCGTCGAATCAAAAGCTCTTTCGATCATCTACCTTAACCGCCGATTGCAAGAAAATAAACTAATTTCTCACATTAGCTTGTAAGTCTTAGAGTTTTGCAAGGGACTTGAAAAAAAAACACAACAAACGAAATTTCGATGTTGCATAATATTGGGTGGGCGTGGCAGATTTTTTTTTATTTTAGTTAGAATTTATATGGAACTTTTTATCGTAGTTCCTATGTAGTTCAATGAGCAAAAAACCCAGAAAGCAAAAGTTTCCTTAGTTAGTAAATCATAGTCAAACTTCCGCAATCTTTTATAAGGAAAATGTTTTTGAACAAAGCTGTTTAACTTTCAAATTTTCTACATCAGTTTCCCCGGCGAAAGAATTCCGATAAATGTTTTAAGGGGTAAATTGGCTTATTTCCTCATACTGATAAGGGATTGTGATCAGAAGGTAGTAAGTATCCGTCATTTAAATAGCGTGAATAGATTTTTTCTCTTGGATTAGCGGCATCTATGTCAGATTTGGTGACAAAATATTCAACAGATAATGACACGGACTTTTTGGATTTCCTCCCAGATTGGCTTTTTAAGTTTCGAGAGTAGTCCGTAGTGTAGTAATGCTGAAGGATACGAGATGAGTTTCTGATGAAAAAGGATTCAAAGAGCCAGTGCAGTATGCGAAGGTGCAGTGTCGCCTTCAAAGGACTTCAAATGCACCGCAGAATGCTAGTCTAGGCATAGTTACAGCCGTGTAACAACATTCCAGGGACGTCACGAGCGTTTTCTCAATACGTTTGCGAATTGGCTGATCGTGGATCTATAATGAAATCGATATTGAATAGTTTTGTTGCAATTATTGCTCTGCAATACCAAATTCGATACAACGCCATGTACCGATAAAAAAACGCTGTCACAGGCTCTTATAACTATGCCAGAAAACGCTTATTCGCCTCACTTTAGTCTACATCCTATGTTCTTTCTGACTACTTTTCCAGATTACTCTAAATGAAATAATAAACACTGTATGTTCTCATAAGCGGTATACGGAACATTGCAAGTTCTTGCACACAGGTTGGCATTGAAAATGGGGCAAATTGGTGAAGAGACACGCCCATCATATCACGTAAACTGAGACCATCTCTGTTTTTCCGAAGAGATAAACAATTGGTTTTTTAGTGATTAGGCTTAAACTCTAGCAGATAAACGTACAAAATTATAAACGTATGGGCGATGCTGTACAAAAAATTGAAAACATTGACCACGCCTACCCAATATTATAGTGTCTCAAAACGAGCTTCAAAAACCCCATTCATTATATAAATTTTCGGCCAGTTTCAAATTTGGAATGAATGCACCTAAGCATGTGCTTCTGTCCCTTTACAAATTTTCAAAAGAATCGGCAAGTGACCTAAAGAACACTCCTTCAAAGAACACTCCTATATGATACAAATTTTTATTTTAAAAATAGAAAAAATCAGCCGCGCCCATATTCTATACTATAGGGGATGAAAATTTAGTTGTATTACTTTTTTCTTTTTTTGTTGGGGACAACGGTGATGACTATAAAAGATTCGATCACGACCGAATGTAATTTTCTTACTTGCTTTTAGTTATTGTGGTCGCGTTTGCAAATACATTAAACCTTGCGCGACGACGCGGCAGCACCACACCTTACTGTACATAATTGGTCTCGGCCGCTCTGATACACATTGTGACTGCCGTATATAAATGGAATCCGCCGCGAAAGGGTTACATTGATGCTTAAATTAGTTTCTAAAAAATCTATTAACGCAAAATACGGATCAGCATATCAGAAAGTTGCATCCGCCCATTAATCAATCTTTCGAAATGATTCCAACTCAAGATATGACGACTTTTTTCTTAAAACCAATGAATCAGTCCAGCAGATATCCGTTATTGTCTTCACCAGCGTGATGTAATGCTCGAGCAGTATCTATAGATTGTTACTTATACCAATTGTCACAGTTACAAAAATTATCGCTAAACTTTTGCACATTCGACTTAATGAAGGTTGGAAAGCTTTGTCACCCATCTTAAAACGAACAAGTGAAAGTGACGGATTTAATATCGAATCATGGCGGATATCATTTGGAATATTTGTTATTGTCTTCTACAAATGCCAGAAAATTTCATAAATGAAGAAAAGAATTACTTAAGTGTTTCGTAACCAATACTCGGTGAAAGCATGCGAATATAATTTTCTTACTTCGGAAAAGTTCTTAAAAAATTTCTTAAATACAATTTTTTAAAAGATGATAAAAAGATTATTTGCAATCATGATTAGGAGCACACAAAGTCATCTACGGTCATTAGGCCACGTGTACCCTTCATTAGGTTTAGGTAGGGTACATTGGGCATTTAGGTTATGCAATTCCAGAAGGACCTGAGATAGACCCAGCTTTTATTACAAATCGCTCTCTGAATCGATTTAAGCTTTCGTGTCCGTCTGTCCATCCTATTTTCTCCAGACTACCGTTTTTGAGAGATTTTTGATTAAATATGGTAGACTCAGGTTTTCTGGTCCAAATACGAACACTATTGAAAATGCTTCGGATCGGATCACTTTTTCAAGAGCTTTGCGTGGTTTTATGAATGGCTGTAAGGTGATTCTAGGGTATTTAATAGTAGGCGGCGGTTCACTACAGTGCTTTTCTTTGTTTTCTTTTTTTTTTTAATAACTAACGAATATTCTCTACTCACTAAGTATTCGTCGTTTTATTTGTTTATCACTACACACTATCACATAAAGTCCTCAATGTAGACTTTTACGTTTTACAAGTGAAAAAAAAACTTACCGTTTATTAATGAATTCCTTTTTCATTTAATTAATCGATAAGGATTGTTTCGGCCTCTCTTTTTTTTCGTCGACATCTTAGAATCTTTACCATCAGTAAAGATTCTAAGCGAAGAGATAGTCATGGCGGCGGTTATCTTTCTTCAGTTGCATGCTTTCATTTGGTATGATTGAAACTGGTTTTAACGGCATTGTAAAGTAATTAGAAATTTTCGTTAATGATCATATTTTAATCATTATTATCTTATCGATTTTATACCTAAAGGTATTCTCGTTGAAGCTTGAAAGAGAAAGAAAAAATCATTGCATAGTAAGACAAGGAAATTTATTCCCGAATAAATTCGTTTAGATTTACATGTAACAACAATATATATATACTCGAGTTGATCGAAAAATAATAAGAATTTTTGATATTCACAGAATGAATTTTAGACAATATCTTTATTTATCCCGCTTCACTTAGAAATGTCGTTTTTCAATATTTTCCCAACACAGTTTCCAATCCGAAGAATTGTGAGACTTTGGGCGTCGATCTATCTGCAAATATTGCAATATCTTCAGAATATTTTTAGATCAGTTTATTTTTAGGTTTCTTTGGTGCTTAGGTTGTTCTATTCGAAAATAAAAGAAAAAAAAATGACAAAAGAAAGCCTTCCCGTGCTTGTATTAGCTTAACATTTAGTTGTATTAAATCCCGAAGAACGTTAAATTGAACGTGGGAAGGAGAGTATGATAATTTTCGTTGACATACAAACTTATCCGTTTAAAAAACTATAAGCTTTTTCGAACTATCTGCTATCCTTCATTTTTATGCTTTATAAGGGCATTTTAAGTTTGTGTGGATGTATGCAACACCCAGAAGAACTTAAGAGAGACCTAACTCTTATTATATCGACCGACTAACAACCACTTTCTGAATCTATCTGAAGCTTGTCAGTCGCTGTGTCCGTGTTGGGCTCTTGTGTTCAATCTACGGGTGACATTTCTTCAGATGTTTTGATGAAAGTTCGTCCCCCGACATATTTTGGACCAAGGACTGTTACTATTTTCAAACGGTTCGGATCGGATCGCTTTTGCAACTGTTACCCACATATGAAGCCTTCCTCTGAAAAGCCGTTATATGAATAATTCTATACTTTAGCTTTCCCAAAGGCACAAAAGTTGTAATGAAAATTGAGTATTGAAATGAGTTTCATCGACCGGGCCTGCTCATAAGGTTAATAGACTTAGAAACGTGCAAACAAAACTTGCAATATTGAAACAAAAATTTTAACATAAAACGAATGATCGTAAGATACTCGGAATGAGTTCCAATCTACATGCGAGAGATTTAAAGAGTACACGAACATTCGCTAATCCCATCTAAAAATCCTTACAAGAAAAAAGAAAATAGGGCTTTTGCCTAAAACGTGGAAGAATTGTAAAGAGAGAGTGAATATAATTCTTTAAACTACTCCAAGTTTAGCTTTCCATCATTATATTTATTCGACATAACTCAGCGATGTAAGAAAAAGACACTTTTTCAAACTTCCCAAGCCTCACCTCGAGTAATAACTACTCCACTGACAACGTACCTCACTTCAGTCGCAATTATCTTTTTGTATCCATCATCCAAAAAAACAGATCGACAGAGTATATTCAGAAAACTTGTAACTCTGAGAAGAAAGCTTCGAAAATCCTATAAGGCTTATATATGCTCTATCAAGCCCTTAATTGTTCTCGACATTTCTGCTCCTCCGTTTTTGAAACAAGAGTACATTAAGATTGTTCGGATGAATGCAACGCCCAGAAGACCCGCCTTTTGCAATAACGACCGAATCAAAATCCCTTTCTGAATTGATTTAAGGTCGTCCGCCTATCTTGTTTTCTTGTTCTCAACCTGCAAAGTCGCAAGGACGGACGCTATTGAAAGTGGTTCGGATCGGACCAACTTTTGGATCAATTGCTAGATAACGGTTGTGATATCAAAAAAACATAAAGCTAATCCAAAAAAAAAAATTTGTAATCAAATTCTCGATGTTTGACATTCACTTGAAAATCGGAAGCGGAAACTACATATCCGGCGAGTTCTCAATGACAATGGCTGGATGGCAGCACGACTTTGTCATATCTTAAGATGCAAAAACGAATGCTTGTAATGCCAAGTTTTTATATTAATTAAGACAATATGTTGTAGAATGTATGGATTTATCTCTTGAGGATTTTTATGTCAACTGTATCTAAGGAGAAATTAATTAATAATAATTTACTTTCTTGTGGATTGGATAAATATGGGCCATTGCGCATAACCAAGTAGTAAAGTCGGGAATATCTGGGATCAGTCCTCAGTGCGATAGGCCATACCTACATTGATTAGTAATCCTAGTTATACTGAATGCTCGGTCAGTAAAGATATGGCACTTGGCTGTCGCCAAGCCCTGTCTGTCTTTCTCCTCACTTCCTTCTTTGTGCCATTACAAGTACACAGGACATCACCTTAGCGATTTGTCATAAAAGAAAAAAAGGAGAAAGTCTATATACGCTTTCGAAGCAATCATCGGTCAAGCAAGAAGGTGCATAAAATGACGAAAAAGACGGTACAGTCTTGATTGGCCAGTTTTGCTCCAAATCTAGAATTTTTCAATAAGAGCTTTGGCTTTGTATTCAACGCGTACTACAGTCGCTGTTCCCGAAGCTAGGGATAAACACTGCAACGCTCGTTAAGATGAACTCTCGCCAACATACGTAGCATGAAAAAGACCTGAGTCACATTCTTCTATTAAGGGACTAGACCTTTCTAATAGCATGACAAAAAAATCCTTTGACTGGAGGAAATCAAATTTTCTAATCACACAAACACTTTCACTGCAGCGTCGCAACCTTATATATTGAGAAAAAAAGTGTGCCTCAATCACACCTCCTTTTTCGAAAGGCCACCCGCAACGTTTGGAAGTGCTCTTCAGCTACTTCGTTGAGCCTTCATCGGTCAGAGTAATTTCGCTTAAAAAATGTTGCTTGTACATTTCCAGCAACCACTGCGCAAATGTCTCGAAAATCCTCCAACTTTTTACTTATCAAAAATCATCGTCATAACAGCTGTTTAACAATTGTTCAAGGCTTCGCAAAATCGAGTTCCCTCACAGAGTTGCTTTGTAAACAGTCCGAAAAGCAGCTTGTAATCTTAGTCTCGATCTCTTTATAGTTTTGACAAGCAAGGACATGATTTTAAATAAGGACATGTTTGCCTTTGATTAACTATACCTGTATGTAAATTATTATGCGACCTCCTAGCTGAGCTTCATTCATGAGCTTCATTTTCATAAATTCCAAACGTGATAGCCAAGCAGGTATGCCTTCACTTTACCTTCTCGCGTATCAAACAGCCTCTACAGCAATAGATGATGTAAGTCAATAGGCAAATATTGTTAAAACTTTAACCGCTACGTTTTAACACTTCCCCCATAATCCTTTCACCCAACGACAACAATTTCTCGTATTCATGGCGATGAAAATGCAGTTTTGTCAAGAAACTATTGAATGAATAAAAAAAAAAAAAAAAAAAAAACATGTAAAACTGTTTACATCATGAACCTGTCGGAATCACTAGTGCGTAATTTTTTTTCTTTTCGGTTCGCTGCTCTTACATACAAAGAAGGTGTGATAAAAACACATTTACTCGCTTTAGTCGAAAAAGGAAAACGAACCTAGTTGTGCCAAAATGCAAGCATAATATAAAAAACAAAATTCATTCAAGTTCTATGCGAATCTTGCGTACCCAACACCTTAACAGCATAAACATTTTAACTTTGCTGTTCAAAATTGTACCCTTACAAAAATAAATCTATCTTCAGTTGTATGTAAAAATAAAAACAAAGAAGAAGAAAAAAAATGCTTTCTGCATTGGAAGGCAAACATATCAAGACATCAATCAATCAATGTGTGTACTTTGCCGCCTGTTTTTGTATGATTTTACTTTCAAATCTCCTAAGGACATGTATGTGAAGCCTCAAATAGAAAATCCCTTTATATACATGTTTTGCGATTGACTAAATGATGTTCGGCCGTCTATGACTACAAATGTTTGTGCAAAGTGAATTTTTTTTTAAAAGATTTTAACTGATGACAAACATCTTTGAACTATCATATCACGAGTTAAGCTCAAAAATAAGATTATTCTGCCTTAAGACGACAAGAAAATCTTGGAAAACATCATCATCTTTTTACATTTTAGCGGAGATATTTCAACAAGCAATGTTGATCTTTCTAACAACTAGTAGTAACCTATTGCCAAGGAACGGACAAAAGCAAAATTTCTCATATTAGTTGAGATGTGAAGCTTCCACTTGAAATGCCGAAGGTATACCTAAGAAAAATTGATCCTTAAAAAATAAAAATGGAAAGATTTTCAAGTAGGTTTGCTATCAACGTATGTCAATTCATAGAATCGCAAGGCGATTCAAAGGCGAAAAGCCTAATAGGGTAAAGGTTGATGTAAAGGCTGCTTGCTTTCTCCTTGTTGAGGTGGTTTCCTAGGTATTCTTGGTATGCACTCATCATTTCGAACCTTATCAGACCTCAGAGCGGGCTTTCATATTTTCTTCTATTAAAATTTTCAAATCATAAGAGATCATCTGTGAACACTGTAAGAGATAATTCGAATCAATGTATAAACTTGTGTCTAAGAAGTGTCAGTTCTTATAAGGCATTGTATCTACATGAATTTTTCATTGAAATTCAACTTTCGTTATGGGAACTTTAAGTGCAGTAGTTCGATTCGATCAATGCGCAGTTGCAAACGATCTACACATTTGACAATGTTCCAGTGGCAATAAGGCGACTCTCTCTTCTTAAGAGATGAGGAGAAAATTCTAGGCAAAATACGTGAAGTACATCAATTAGGTGCCTTTTTCAAGGACCAGGCATCTTTTCTATCAGGCTGTGCCCTATTCAACAACTATAACATATGAGAAGAGGCTATGCAGTCTGTGACAGAAAACGTACGCTATGTATGGCACCATCAGGCATAGATTTTCAAGTAATAAACGAAAAATTGCGATATTAATTTTTTTACAACCTGGACTTGTCCGCTACCAAATTTTGGTCTACTTTCGCAGCATGTTTTATGTGGATATTCATTGAGTAGCTAAGCTACGTCAAGACAGTGCTAGCCGCAATTAAATCGTGAAAAAAGGAGAGCGAAAAACTCTTTAAATGTCAGGCACTGAGGGCGCTCACATTTATCGAAATCGTATTAAAGTCCACGGTTAAACTTAATCTCCTTCATGCTACGAATCAGCAAAA